TGATATCTTGTTGGTTTGTTGTATGTTTGGTAGTTGTATTTAGATTTTTAATAGATATTTGTTTAGTGTACTGTTGTCGTTTTGATGTATATAATTTATGTGTATTTTAATATTTGGTTTATTATATTGTTTAGATGTTTTGTAGTAAGTGTTAAATAGTATTTATGTTCTGGTTTTTATTTTTGTATTATGTGTTTAGGATTTGATGTCTTGTTGATTTATTGTTCTTTGATTTTTGATTTAAGATTATTGATAGGTAGTTGTTTGATGTAAAATTGTCGTTGTAGAGTTGTATATATTTTATGTTAGATTTTAATATTTGGTTTATTTTATTGTTTAGATGTTTTGTAGTAACTGTTAAATAGTATTTATGTTCTGGTTTCAATTTATTGATTATATTTTAACAGTGTTATGTCTAGTTGATTTTTTTTTTCTTTTGGTTTATGTTTTAAGAGTTTTGATAGTTAGTTGTTTGATGTTAAATTGTTGTTTTAGAGTTGTATATATTTTATGTGTATTTAAATGTTTAGTAATTATTACATCTTATTGGTTGTTTGTAGGTAGGGTTGAACAGCTGGTCATTTGTTTTGGCTTCTAATTAGAGATCTCCTTTTTACAGTTTCATATCTTGTTGGTTTGTTGTATGTTTGGTAGTTGTATTTAGATTTTTAATAGATATTTGTTTAGTGTACTGTTGTCGTTTTGATGTTGTATATAATTTATGTGTATTTTTATATTAGATTTTAATATTTGGTTTATTATATTGTTTAGGTGTTTTGTAGTAAGTGTTAAATAGTATTTATTTTGGTATTATCTTTTTACGATTTGATGTCTTATTGATTTATTGTTCTTTGATTTTTGGTTTAAGATTATTGATAGGTAGTTGTTTGATGTAAAATTGTCGTTTTAGAGTTGTATATATTTTATGTGTATTTAAATGTTTGGTAATTATTACATCTTATTGGTTGTTTGTAGGTAGGGTTGAACAGCTGGTCATTTGTTTAGGCTTTTAATTAATGTTCTGGTTTCAATTTAGGGATTATATTTTAACAGTGTTATGTCTTGTTGATTTTTTTTTCTTTTGGTTTATGTTTTAAGAGTTTTGATAGTTAGTTGTTTTATGTAAATTTGTCGTTTTGGAGTTGTATATATTTTATGTGTATTTAAATGTTTGTTAATTATTACATCTTATTGGTTGTTTGTAGGTAGGGTTGAACAGTTGGTCATCACCACTGGATTTGAATTACGGAATTTCTTTAACTCATTGATGCTGGTCGGCATTTTTTTTGTGATTTGATAAGGTATTTGTTATCCCCCAGGGGAACACGTAATCACGTGTTTACGGGTCTTAGCGAACCCGGGGTCCTGAGCTCTTGTTGGTTGTAGGTAGTAATAATCAGCTGTTCAACTCTTTTGTCTTTAATTTAAGGAAATGTTTTTACTTATTGTTATAGGTCTGTTTGGGTGCTTCGGCATCTTATTGTGATTTGTTTAGGAATTAGATCCCCCAGGGGAACACGTTCTTACGTGTTTACGGGTCTTAGCGAATCCGGGGTCCTGAGCTCTTGTTGGTTGTAGGTAGTAATGATCAGCTGTTCAACTCCTTTGTCTTTAATTTAAGGAAATGTTGTTACTTATTGTTATAGGTCTCTTTTTGTGCTTCGGCTTCTTATTCTGATTTGTTTGTATCCCCCAGGGGAACACGTTCTTACGTGTTTACGGGTCTTAGCGAACCCGGGGTCCTGAGCTCTTGTTGGTTGTAGTTAGTAATGATCAGCTGTTCAACTCTTTTGGCTTTGATTTAGGTAAATGTTATTACTTTTTGTTATAGGTCTGTTTGGGTGCTTCGGCGTCTTATTGTGATTTGTTTAGGGATTCGTTATCCTCCAGAGGAACACGTTCTTACGTGTTTACGGGTCTTAGCGAACCCGGGGTCCTGAGCTCTTGTTGGTTGTAGGTAATAATGATCAGCTGTTCAACTCTTTTGGCTTTAATTTAAGGAAATGTTTTACCGTTTGTTATTGGTCAGCTTTTTTTCTTCGGTTTATCATTTTGATTTGTGTTAGTTATTTTTTTGATTTATTACCCTTTTTTATATTGTTTATTAGTTAATTATTTATAATTTTATAGTGTTATAGATATATTTGTTGTCAATTTTTATGAAAGTTATTTCATGGTTTTTCTTAGGTGCTATTGAATATTATTGAATTCTCTTTACTAAATAGGGATATGATTTTTTACTGTTATATGCTTGGTGTTGATCGTTGGTTTTTTTTTTTTTTTTGTGATTTTTTTTAGACATTCGTTTGATGGATTGTTCATTATGTGATATAGGATATATTTGTCTATTAATTTGAAAGGTATTTTTTGGTTTATTACCAATAGTTTTTTAAGTTTTGTTAAATTGCATTAGTATTTATTTTTAATTTCAGAACTTGAACTTTTTTTTTGGATCAACATAAATCAAGGATTCTACAGGAGCCAGGTAACCACTTATAATTTTTTTTGTTGAATTTTATACATTAAATATTTAATAGAATAAAAATCAAATACATAACTTTGCATAAAATATCTAGAATTTTTTAAATCATTTAATTTAATTAATTTCTAATAAATTGTGCTCACAAATGTAAAATATAATTCAATTTAAATCAATCAATCTAATTTTGTTTTAAAATAATTAAATTTAAATTCATTTTTTTTTTATGTTTCTTTTTCAGAACCTGGATTTTTTTTTTGGATCGACCCAAATCAATTTCCCTCCGGGAGCCGGGGATCCCCTTTTCATTTCTACTTCTGAACTGTACACTTTGAATATTTAATGGTATAAAAATCAAATTCATCTAATTTACATAAAATATTTTATATCTTTATATCCTACGACAACAATTAACTAATAATTATAAAATCTTAATTTGTATGTTATGTTTCTTTTCAGAACTTGGATTTTGAATCGTTTCAATCTAAAGGAGGTGTCCTTTGAGAGCCGGGTAACCACTTATAATATTTTTTATTGAATTTTATACATTAAACGTTTAATGGAATAAAATTCAAATTCATTACTTTACATAAAATATCTTGAAACTTTTTTTTCAAAAAATTATTTTTCAGGAATTCATCAATTATATTGAGAAGAGTGATGGAAACAAGATTGGAGTTATCTATATTTAAGTATTTCTTTTTTTATTTATAATGGATTTACTAGGAAGAGCGCAATAGGACTTGTGTTTTGGCTTTCAATAAGAATTTAATTATTTAAAATTTTATAATCTTAATTTTGTCTAGAGTTGGGTATTTCTTTTTTTTTTTTATAGTAGTGGTTTTTCTATATGTTTTATTGGTTTTTTAATTTTGTAGCGAAGAAAATGTGCTGACTTTTAATGAGGAATTCTCATTTAACTATTTGATGTAGGATTATTTATTGTTCTTTGGCTGATCTTTTTTATGACTTTTGCTAGGTATAGGTTTGATGAACTGTTGATACGTTTGGTGTTGGATATATTTTTTGTCTCTGTTTATGAGTCTTAAATTTTGATGTTATTAAAATAAAAGTTAATTTATATCATTAAAATAAATATAATAAATATATGTTATTAAAATAAGTGTTATTAAAATAACACTTTAGTTGATACATTATAGATATAATCTCTTCACTTAAATTATAATATGCATAATAGTATTTGTTTATACGAGAATTCTTAATTTTAATTATAGTATAAAATAAAACAAAAATTATTAAATGGTTAACATTCGTGAATAAATATATAAATAAAATGCATAGTCTGGAGTATTAAAATATGTGTATTGAATAAGTACTTAATTTTATTTTTAGTTATACATTTTTAAACACAAACAGTATTTTAAAGTATGTAATAAAAACATTGATATGTATAACTCAATATTATACGAAGTGTGATAAAAAAATACCTAACATTCAATTAGATTGTTCATGCCACGAGTTAATATTTTATTTTAATAATGCACTACAACCCATTGAAGTCGTTTCGACTTCAGTGTCGTCAGTCGTTTTTATCATGCCTAACAAACTAGAGCACCGTCTTTGCATTCAACGTTAAACTCGTTAAATCGGCTACCGAAATTTTTGAAATTATAATTTTAAAAATAATTTTAGAATGTATCAATGAACCAATCCAAAACATTTGAATGACATAAAACGTGTATAGAGGGTCGTGAAACACCAAATGATTAACTCCATGCTGATCAACCTTCTACTTCAAGATATGTCGAAGTGGTGACATATGTTTGAATTATTAGTTTGGCATAATTTTTAATAAATGCCATAAAATTTAATTTTAAGAATTTTAGTAGCTAATTTACTGGGTTTAATGCAACATTTAATGCAAACACGCTGCACTAGTTTAATAGACATGATAAATACAGCAGATGAAACTGAAGTATAAGAATTCAATGGAATATCGTATAGTAACTAAAAGAAAACATTAACTCGTGAGTTAAATAACGTAATTGAGTGTTATCTTCATTGTTATTCGGTATGCGAGAATTTCCGATACCTTTATTTAAAACGCATAAATATATTAGAGCTGTCTTTATTTTTTTTAATACAGTACCCCACTAAATTCTTAAGTCATATATGTTAATAATTTAGGTGAAATTTGGAAGGTCTCTCTAAACCCTTTCTGGTGCCACATTAAGCGACACCAGAGGGGGCGAGTAAGACATTTAAAATTTCACCTAAATTATTTACATGTACGACTTAACAAACTAATGTGTTACTATGTTAACTGTTGAAAATAAAATATTCTACTTATATGATTAAAGACCCCCTTCCTGCGGTTAAGTAAGGTATTTTTTTAGCACACCTCCTATTATACGCACAAAAATAAAATTATTCGCTTTCTATGAGTCCTGCTTGGAAAACTATTAGATTTACTAAAAATAGTTAGGTAATACATTTTATAACGGAATCAGTAAAATCACGAGTGCTATTTGAACCATCTAAATCGAATGTTCTCACCTAGAAACATCAAACAATAAAAGTAAATATTTCATTTTTTCATAATTTTATGATTACTAAATTACTAAATACATATAGTTTATGTATGTAGACAATTTTTTAAATGTTCTATTGTAATGTTTAAACACATAAATTTAAATTTCGATGAACATAAATTGAGCATATAACATCAAAATAATTTATAATGCTCGTATGTATTAAAAAAAAAATCAGTATTTTTAAATGTAATTAATTACCAACCTATAGTGCCGTCGCAAGTTTTTACGAGGCTCTATGCAAAATCCTTACAGTTTCAATATACCTAAGTATATCTAACCATTCAATCTTGACAAACATTTTGTTAAATTATTATTGTGGGCCCCCAAATTTATTTTAAGTGCAAAGCCCTGTAGGAAATCGTCTTAGCTGCCTGCCCGCTAACGGCGACACTGTCTACCAACTAGCTAATAACAGAGATGAAATATATCAGTTGTTACGTACTTGGCCAGCAGCACTTATTAAACAGCCGTAAATATGGCATCACTGTGATGCTATAGGTTAATGTACCTAAGCATTTTTGACGCACATATCAACATAGCTGTTGGATTTGCAATGCTTTTACCAACAGCGATATTGAACGAGTGTCTAGAAACCTGTGATAGAAGACAATAGTTTACAATGGTTACATACATACTTATTAAAATTATTAAACACGGCGTACTATTATTAGCACGGTCTTACAGGCACAAATACGGCACACTCGGGACTGAACGATAAGCTAACAACTCCAGCTTCACCAACTAACCCAGCAGCCACATTGTCAATATGTTGCCGTATAAATTGGACATGACTAGTACATCAAATTGCTGACGAGTATGCACCATTTGCATAACAGTTATCCACGATCTATTGTTAAACTTGAGGCCAGGATACATTTTTGCGAGCTTACAAAATAACATTCAGTCGTCAAATTATTAATTTGTTCATCAACTGTGCTCCAATAAATACGAGTAACAATAATAAAATAATATTTGATTGATTGTATTACGTCGCATACCTCTAACAAAATCTTTAAAAATAAACCATCTCCAAGCTTCATTATGTTCGCTTTGTGAACACATAACATTTTTGCAATTTTTCCTAACTGCATAGTCAAAAACAAACTTAGCAATTTTTCGTGTTTTTTTAGCAGTGGTCATTTTTAAATGTTCAACAACATTCTAAAAGACATGAACACAATATAAATTTGCTTACATAAACGTAAATAATATGACTTAATGAAACAGATTCGTGTTCAAGGCCTGAGTATTCTCCCTCGAAAAGTTCCTGGATAATTACCAGATCTATACATTTACGTTTAGTACCTATTGCAGGCAATGATGTTATGTAGACTTCATTGAAATACAAATCTAATCCTTTTCTGAATTATTCGGAAGTTATGACTGCCATATTTAGATGTTATGCTAAATGGATTCGTTAATGGTTCCTAAATTGTAAATTATAGATTTTTATTAAATTTGCAACGTTTAAAAATTAATTTTAGAATCAGAAAATTAATATTACCATCAAACAAATTTAATTGCGATTTATTGATTCAATAACTTGAGTTATACTCGAGACAATAATATGATCTCAAAATAAATTGGGGATCCATTGGATATTCAAAGCATATATATATAAAAAATATTGTACTTAATTAGCGTATAATTCTTGTAAATTTAGTATCCCTCTTCTTCTCCATAAAATTAAGTCAAATACGCTACTGACTTGAACTACAACTGGTGACAAGTTGTTATGCTTATCGGTATTTGATGTTGTTTGACGATAAGACGGATAATGTATCGCAATGATCATGTTAGAGTCGACGACACAAAAAGTGGCGGGTGACCACCTTCGTACCTCGGATCTTACCCATCCAGTAGACAGTGATTTCATGCAACCATCTGTTGCTCCCGCTTATTGTTGTACCGTGAACAATAGAAAAAAAACCAAATTTTAGTTTCCTTTTTTTCCTGTTGACATTCCACACATTTGACCGTTTATATTATTTTGTTTAGAGTTTTAGGGTGGGTGTAGTATAGTTACATATTTTATATTCAGTGTAGTGTGTTTCACATGCGCATACACGTTTGTTGTCTAGCGTTCGTTAAAATTGTTTAAAAACCTAGTTATTTCTTATTAATTTATTATTTTGTTTTATTATTTGTTTATTATTATTATTTTGTTTCATTATTATTGTTATTATTTGTTTTTTAAAGATAGTGATATCCATAGCCAAAGTAAAAAGATTATATACAGAGTATATTTGTTCTTAAAAAATTTATCAGAAAAAAAAAATTTAGACGTTCATTTGTTTTTTAAAAAAACTCAAGATATAACTGCTGAGGATTATGGGATTTCGAAGCAATGAATTCAGCGTATTTGTTTAGAAGCTCGAAAAATTAAGAAACATAGGTATTAGAAACGACACGTCCTTTTTTTGTACTAACCTTCTTTTGTGTCTCCGCGTACATCTTAAAAGCGAGCAAAATAGGTACATGAGGTGGATGATTTCGATGGTGATATAGTATGGAGAACTGTACACGAGTTCTACGTTAAGGGTGAGTACCCCAATACCCAACTTTTATTTAACTCTTTCAAAAAGAAAAAGATTATTCAAGATGTGTTAGATCAATACAAAGCCTTCTAAACATTTGAAATTTGATGATGATTTGCATATGTTATATAATTATGATTTGTCCTACAAACCATAAAATGACACTCATGTAAAATTAAAGTACTTCTTGGTTTTTTGAATTTACCAATATGCACTGAAAATATTAAACGGCTGTCCTTATTCATGTCTTTAAAAACATTTTCATAAGTGCTATAATTGCAGTTTTCTATAATTGTGATATTTAAATATTTCTCCATATTTAAAAGTCCTAATTTTTTTAAGATTTCTTTATCAATGTTGCCTTTCAAAATACGACAGTCGGCGTCTTACCTTCATGGTGTAGATGCGTGGAATCAACAGAGTCAGGACCTCACGCTGTTGTTGTGACCCACAACAGATCACTGAAAACGTTCTAAAATGGTTGCTCTTAGATAGAATGATATTCACATGTATTTATAAATATTGGTATATTTATTAAAATATAATATTGACTAATCAATTTGACTGGCGCTACACTAGGCAAGATAAAAAATGTGAAAAAAATATCAAAAAGCTTGAGGATACTATCAACACACTCACAGATTGATATGGTAGTGCTAAAAAACGATGAGGAAGTTAAAATTTCGTGCATATCATGTTCGTAGTGTTTACAAATTAAAAGATCTTAATAAAGAAAAGCGCTTTGTGTACTATAGATGGTTTCGATCATTTGGCGACAACAATGGAATTTCAGAACTTGACCGTATTTCTTAAGTGATGAGGCGTGGTTTTATCTTAGTGGATATATTAATAGTTAAAATTCTATAATTTGATCCACCAAAAATCCACATGTTCTTCAAGAA